CGCAGGTAAGTCTCAGGTAAGTCCTCTGGCCGCCATCACCATCTCTCCCTCCCTGCGCTACTCTACTCTATCAGCGCCCAGCGCTGGAAGACTAGTCCTATCGTCGACTACTACTGGACTGCTGTCGCCCGAAGTATGCCTCCACTCAATCCTCTACTGAATGCCCTGACTGAGTCCGGACCCAACTATGCATAGCGCTGGGTCGGCCGCAGCGGCTGAGTCGTGGCACCCAAACTGAGGCTGGGCCTCCAGCGCCTACTGAAACGGCGCGGTCTCAAAATCAGGGTCTGGTGCCAAAACCCGTGCCAGGGCCTGTAACCGAAACGAGGCCTACAGGGCCTCTAACTGGTACCGGTCCTACTCAGGCCTAAAAACTGGCCTACTGAACCTGCGGACCCTACTGAGAGTGGAAACGACACCGACCCTATACTCTACGGACCCCTAGCCTACCTGGTCATGCCCTGCTGGGCCCGTGTGGAACTGAGTATGCCACATGTGCCCAGGGCCCTTCCAGGTTGTGCCTGGTGCTCAACTGTAAATGCCCTGGGCCTCAGCATCTCTGCTGGGTCTCCAGCATCTTCAACTGACCGGGTGACCGATTGGTTGAAGATGCTGCACGTTCTGGATCATGTCAGCCTTTACCTAGGGCCCTTTGATTTTGCTCAGGCCCGCCTTCACTTAGGGCGTGCGCAGGCCCTTTACAAGGCCGACGGCCCTTATGCTTCACAAATCCATGGCTTGCCGGTGGAAAAGGAACCGAACTGACGCTCTACAGAATGAATATGGAGCCAGCCTCAGCCAGGCCCATAAGTATCTGTTTTTTGAACTTTTTCTCTATTCAAAAAATAAAAATAAAAATAAATCATGACTTGCTGGTGGAAAAGGAACTGGACTTGTGCTGCTCAGAATGAATACGGAGCCAGACCCACAAGGACTCGTTGTTCCTCAAAAGAAAAAAAATAAAAATAAATTAAAAATTAAGAACAAAATGACGAGAAATAAGCAGGACAGCAATCACAAGTTCACAACGCATGCATGAGCCCACACAGAAATCGACTCGCAGTCAGACCAACCAATGCATGTAGAAAGAGTGAAGAAACAGTTTTTCACTTCTTAACAATTATATAAAAAATCAGTTTAAGATTCTGAAAATTAACTGCTGTTAGTTGAGCTGTGTTGACACGTGAAGGTGAAACATGAAATTTTAAACTTGAAACTCGAAACTTGCCAGTGAAACTTGAAATCACGCATTGATCCAGATGGGTTCATTAACCTCATTTCTTTCCTTTTTCAATGATTTTGTTTAGTTTATAACTTTTTTTAATCTACTGATTTTAATATCATTTTATGATTCAGTTAGATATGACAATGGTTTGTAAAACTGTAATTTGATACATGGGACAAAGTACGACATACCCTTTTTTTTATCTTTTCAAAGTTCTCGACAAGTGTCCTTGCTATCCCATCTTTTTCCTCCATAGCCGTTCTGACTGCAGCACTCCATAACCCTTTCTCCTCCATCTTTTTCTTATGCTGCTCCAAAATCGTATTTTTTATTTCCTCTGTTGCACCTGTATATTTCTCCTGATAACTGCAGACTCAGAGACAGATACCAAACCAACCTTAAGTTCGCTACTTGAAAACACAGAGAAGTAGGATATGAGAAAAGCAGGAATTGAGGAACACAAACAAACAAACAAACAAACAAACAAACAAACAAACAAACAAACAAAATTGTAATAATAAATTAATGATAAAAAGCGGATGCCCGCTGCGGCTACGCGCAGCGGACAACCCCCACCTCCCCTCGCTCTCTCTGTTGCTTTCCACCCTCACTCCCCATCCATCGGTTTCATCCCGGGAAATCCTCCTAGAGATTGGGAAAGAGGACCCGGAATCTCTCTCTCTCTCTCTCTCTCTCTCTCTCTCTCTCTCTCTCTCTCTCTCTCTCTCTCTCTCTCTCTCTCTCTCTCTCCGAAGCAGCCCCAACCCGTTCCCAGCTTTCTCGTTTGATTGATTGATTGATTGATTGATTGATTGATTGATTGATTGATTTCGTGTTCGGTATTTGCATGTTCGTATGTGCATGCCTGACCGTTATTTGCATGCCGGAATCTGGACAGGGATGTCCACGTGTTGCATCCCTTTATAATTTTTATTCGTAGACAGAGAATAAAAAACACTCTGGGGGAAAACTCTTGCTCGGTTCTGCTCGAGTATAGTGTCCTCCTCTTCACCATTGTATGTGTGTGTGTGAGTCCTCTGCCCTCCTCCCTCATCCTCCTCTGTCCATCCTCTTTTCTCCTCCTCCGTCGATCATCCCTCCTACATCCATAGTCCTCGTGTGTCACCCTCATGTGTGTGTGCGTGTATGTCCTCCTCCCTCCTTCCATCCTTCATTCTCCTGCCTCAATCATCATCATCGTCCTCTCCTCGTCCTCTCTCCTCAACCACCCTCCTGGTCCTCCAAAAGACACTCACATGGCACCATCATCCTTCTTGTTCTCGTGCTCCATCGTTGCGTCCTTCTCCTCCTCCTCGTCGTCCTCCTCCTCATGCTCCAGTGTAGCATCCTCCTCTTCCTCATAGTCCATTGTTGCCTCCTCCTCCTCCTCGTGCTCCGTTGTGTGTGTGTGTGTCCTCTGTCCTCCTCCCTCATTGCCCTGCCTCCATCCTTCCTCCTCCTCCACCCTGGATCCTCCCCCCTCCATCCATGGTCCTCCTCCTCCTCGCCCCTCCCTCATCCTATGCCTCCATCTTCCATCCTCGTCATCCTCCTCCCTCCTCCTCCTTCCTCTGCCTCCATCCTCCTCCCTCTGTCATCATCGCCTTGAAGTTCCTCCCTCCATCGGCATCGCCCTCCTCCCTACGCCTCCCTCCTCCCCGTCTGTCTTCCTCGTTCGTCGTCCAGTTGAGCCCGACCATTGTCAATAGCGCTTGTCCGCTTTCTTCCTTGATCATGTCCTCCTCCATCCTTTACCTCCTCCATCCTTTACCTCCACCATCCTCCCTCCTCGTCCATCCTCCGATAGCGCCCGTCCAGTTGAGCCCGACCAACCTTGCTCGTCGCCTCCTCCAGGTTATCCCACTGCGCCCGGTGGGAGATATCCCTTGCCATCCACGGCCGTCGTCCGGGCCTAGGTCCCACTTGCACGAATTACAAGACTCTGACCGTAGATACCAAAGATCAACGGCCGAAATCTCCCAATTTGCGCAAGTGGGACCTTGCCCCCGGCCGGCCCTGCCCCTTCAGGTTGATGCGGTGCCCTCCTTCACCGGCGCGCAAGGAACAATCAGGTGGAGAACGGGTTCTGCATTCATTTTTGCCGCCGGCACTCTCCATCCGACCGTTTGCCATACGGTTTGGTCCCGCCCATCCCTGGCACTCGTCGCCTCGTCTCCCCGATAGCGAAAATAAAAAGAAGGCCTGCGGGCCTAGCTCAGTTGGTAAGGCGCAGACGCTGCATTCAGGAGGTCGTGGGTTCAATCCCCATTTGCCTCGCGTACGTGCCTCGGCAAGCTTGGTGATCTACCAGCTAGAGATAACCCGTTGCCCCCCTAAGCCAGCATTGGCAGGACCTTGGTTGTTGTTGGTTGCTATGCAGCTACAATATTGGCCATTAGACACCGCCATGTGGGGTTTGGGGGCGGGGTAGGGGGAGGTGCAGTGACTGGCCATTGCTCGGCGCTAGGACCGCCGATTTCCCCCATCGGCAATGCCTCCCCACCCCTCTTCACCGTGATGAGGGACTGGTACAGCCTTGCTCTCGCACCACTGCTGTGGTGCAACCTACCCCGTGGGCTGGGGAGAGATCCGGGTTGGTTGGTGTTCCCCCGTACTACATATACACTAGTGAGAGGATGAGATAGATGAGTACTAGCAAAGAAAAATGAGATAGATAAGAAAAAAGAAAAAAAAAAAAAAAAAAAGAAGAAACAAAACGAAATGACGCCAGCCCCACACCAAAAGCACTGGAGGGGGAAAAAAACAAAATGAAACAACGCGCCCCACACCAAAAGCATGGGGGGGGGGGGGAAAGAGAACGAATTGACATGAAACAACATGAGCCCCAGACAAAAAGCACCGCAGCAAAAACACAACAAAACTCACCACACCCCTGCTTTGGGCCAGAGCGATTTTCCTAAAAGTGGTTGTGGGTTCTTGTGGGGATGGTCATGCGAGACCCGCTATTTTCTTTAAGGGTCTCGCCACAGCAATGTCGAAAGCACCAGTTTCGACATTTTTTCTTCGCCACATAGACTGGTGAAGGAAAAACGTTGAAACGGGTTCGACATTTGTCAGAGGAGAGCCTTTCCACATGGGTGGAAACTGCCAGCCTGCGGCGGGCCGAGTTTCAACATCTCGGAATGGAGGTGGTGAAAGAAGAGTGAGTTTCAACATTTGTCAGGGTCGGTTCAGAAGAGTGCCTTCTCCTTCTCTTCCTTGCGTTTCTACAGCAGTGTCGAAAAACGCAGCCTTGGAGGTGAGCAAAAGATAAGACAATCAAAATAAATAAAGAATAAAAAAACTTTGTCCGTGCATCTTTCCACGTTGCAGGCCAAATTCAGTCGCATATTCAACGTCTTGAGAGCAGTTCCGCGAGGCCCACTGCTCTCCCGACATTGGAACCTCGGCGACCGAGGCTACAACAAATTCCCCGCCTCCGCCACACAGCAATGTCGAACAAGGGGCAACGGGTGCAGTGCCTCGACATCCCTTGTGTTCGACATTGGCTGTGTGGCGAAGGCGGGGAATTTGTCGAAAGGCCGAATGTCGAAAAGAGTCTGACACTTGTCGAAAAATTTGTTGTTTCGAGGGTGGTGCAGCGAGGCCCTAAGAGTATTGGGAATGAAAATGCTGAGAGAGAAAGACACAGAATGAGGCAGAAAATTCAAACTCAACAGATAGAAACAGGAAGTAACAAGATCGACATACAGGCAAGCAGACAGCCAAGCAGCCAGATAGCCAGACGGACAGACAGACACACAAACAAACAAACAAACAAACAAACAAACAAACAAACAAACAAACAAACAAACAAACAAACAAACCACAGGAAGACAAACAGGGGGACAGAGTGGGTGGGGAGGCCACGGCAGGAGAGAAAAAGAGAGAGGAGGCACTCGGGGTGGGCCACAGAGGGAAAAGAAAAAATAACACACACTGTCAGAGAGAGAGAGAGAGAGAGATCATTTTGTGTGCATTGAGACCCGAACAAGATTAAAAACAAAAACCTTCTCCTTTTGTAACTTTTGTCTCACTTTTTAAATCTTTTTACTGTCCTGGACTGTCTTCAATGACTCTTCATGACATCGGATCAGCAGCAGGAAACCAACAGTATGGCCGCTGAGTGTCTTCTAAGGGCATGTCATTGGTATAATAGCCCATTTTTTCCTTCTGTATATAATAGTCTATCGTTTCCGCTGACTGTCTTCTAAGGGCATGTCATTGGTATAATAGCCTATCTTTTCCTTCTGTATATAAGAGTCTATCGTTTTCTTCTGTTCCTCTCATTCCTCATTCTATTTTTTAACCTATTATATGTTTCCCAGGAATCAGCATCCGGATTTGGTTAACCAAGAATAGAATGGGTTCTGTTTATAATACTTTATATGTGTGGTTGAGTTAAATAAAGAACATTAGAAGAGAACAAAAGTCCCAATAAAAGGAAAATACCCTAATGTAACTGACCTGTAGAAGCACATGAATCTCTCTCTCTCTCTCTCTCTCTCTCTCTCTCTCTCTCTCTCTCTCTCTCTCTCTCTCTCTCTCTCTGTGTGTGTATATATATATATATTATAAATAAATTAAATATAATATAAATATTATATGATACAACATGTTCCCATACACATGCGAGATGGCGCAGAAGACTTGGAGAGGAAATCCACACCACACCGGAGCGAGATACGCACAGGGGAAGCTCAAAACCCAGATTGGATTGAAATAAAACTCAATTCATAGTCCCTGTCTCTCTCCAGTCCAATCAGTTGCACAAATCTCAACCGAGTATAAACAGCATTGAACAAACTCAAAACATGGTTTCTCCAAGCCTCTGGCATTTTCCTCCTTCCTCCAGCATCCTGCCCACTTCTAAGTATGGCGCTTAGGCCAGAACCGAGCGCCTAGCCCCAAAACCCTGCAGACCACCAGTGCCTCCCTCGTGCAACCTCATCTGCCGTAGCGCCTCTTAGGAATCACTCAGATGCATCAATGCCAAGTCAGAGACCACTTAGGATGGACAGCGCCAGCTCCAGAATAACGAAGGAACCTCCAGCTTGAAGAAGAAGTACAGCTGCCTCGCAAAGGAAAATTTGGCAGCGCCAACCCCAACAGCACAAATATGGTGTTGCCCAGCTCAGCACCTGAGGTGCATGCTTCAACACTGCTTCCAAACCCTAGCAGCGGACTCCCAGCTAGAGCGCTGCTCCTGCAGCCGAGCGGCGCAATAAGAACTCCAAACATCGTTTCACCAATGAAACACCATCAGGTCCCGAAGACCCCAAACACTACGAACTAACTCTATTTTAAGTTCTACACTAACCTACTGGACCGGACTCCTGGGACTTTGGACACAGCTAGCAGCTATGGGTCTTTGTTTTCCAGCAACAACGGTATCAATCTGAGGCAGTAACAAAGCAAGAACCCGTTTAGGCTTGAACGAGGTTTATGACATGCAGTACCAGCATTTAACAGTGGTTTGAGGGAACTGACAGAAATGTCCCTGTGGGTTTAGGCATGTTTCAGTTACCGGTCAGGACCCAGAACTCGAAAAAATTACAACAATGACTCGGTTAGTGTTACAGCCCGCTGAGAAAATCCAAGAACATTGCATTTCTACCCTCGTGGGGAGCAAGGACCTCCGAGTCGATAGTGGTCATGAGCGAAATGGTGGGGCAGCAGACCCTTCTGCTTTGCGTCATGTGCCAATACGAAGTTCCTTCTGTGTAAAGTTGGAAACCACCGGTTCTTAGTATTTGGTTGGAAGATAAATTTTGCAAGATACTCACGATTGGGGCCGGTACCCCATTAATCCTCAATCCACTCAACGTCGTAGCCCTTTTCAAGGATTGGTGGTCCAAATTGAGGGGGTCTGTCTGGGAATGCATTGGAAGGTGTGAAAGGTAGCAACTTTGATGTATGGAAGACAGAGCCAGTCATGAGATGAGATGGTACATCCAATACGGAAGATGGACCAAAGGGATGAGATCCCACTGTATTTAGAACCTGCCATGGACCATAGTACAAGGGCAACAACTTCAGGGAGATGTCTTCTTCATAAGAAAACTCAGATCTCTTGACCGAAGCCCAATTTCCTGGTCGAAGAGGGGAAGGCAGTCGATGTTTGTTAGCTTGTTCAATCCTTCTCTTTTTGTGCTTTAAACATGTAGTTCGTGCTTTCTCTAAGGCCCGTTCGTAACTCTTGACAATTTTTGTGGTGCTAGTAGTTAGTTTGGGCTTAGCCTTGTCGACGATACCATCGAGTGGTTGTCTAAGATCTCTACCTTCAGGGTGTGAATCCTGTTGAGGTATGGATAGAGGTATTGTACATTAGTTGGGCCCAGGACATGTGTTTGTCCCAATCCTGTTGTTTACGTGTGATCACAAATATCAGCAGCAGCTGGAGCAGAATGTGGTTCATCACTTGGCCTATCCATTGGCCTCAGGAAGTCTGCCAGAAGTCATGTCTAGTCTAGAGTGGAGATAGTCCTTGCAGAAGGACTTTCACTCATTGCTGTAGAATTGTGGGTCTCTGTCGCTAACAATGGAGGCTAGGTGTCCCTGGGCACTCAACCCACATCTTAGAGAAGACCTCTCTGATTAGAGGCACCCTCACCCCGCCTGACAAAGAAATAAACTCTGCATACTTAAAGAAACGATCAACAGAAATCGCAACCTGTCTCATCCCACGAGGGGTGGTCTTGTCGAGATCACGAAAGTCAACTGACACTGACTCGCCACGACGATATGGGATAGGGAACCATTTCATAAGTCCCATAGGAGGTCGCCTGTGGATCTTGCTTCTTCGACACATCTCCTACATTGTTTTTCATGTCTAACCAATAGAATCGTTGGACCAGGGTCACCTACATCTTCGTGAACCCAAAATGCCCACGAGCATTATGACTCTCAACAATGAGATAAGT